AAAAAAAAAAAAAAAAAAAACCGATCGATTTTTCATTGACATTCCCTCTTTTTCTTCCCCCCTTCTTTTAATTAAGATGCTGCCATCACACTTTTTGTACTGGAAAGAAGATGAAGAGACGTTGGCGATAAGAAACGAGGAGGAACTGCAGGAACTAACGATCGTAGGAGAAGTTTGCTGAGACCTTGGGTCCTCCGGACTCAACCTTCAAAAGCTATTACTTTCGGCACCGTACAATTGGCATTATTTTCAATATTCCTTTTAGACGTTTGTTAGTCGCAGTGAACATTCTTCAGATTAGTTTCGACACCGGAAACGGAGAGAAACGGCTGACGTACGTGGTCGTCGCGATCACGTGTAATTAAAACAAGTCTTTGGGCGTTGCGGCCGTTATCGATCTTTCGCTGGGCTACGGACGTTCCTGGTGTTAAGAATGATCTCGGGTGTTGCCACTTGACCGGGAAACACCTGTGGAGCACGCGTTGTGCTCGTTTCTCCACGGGCTACACGGCACAGCCTTTCCTCGTTCCGTAGAGAATTTTCAGTTCCGGGACGATGATCTTCCTTATCAAAGCGTTCGTCTTCGCTGTCAGCATCTCGCGGTGTGGGTCCTTCTTAAATATCTTGATGCCAGGACGATGGACCAGGAACGCGTTGTCCAAGATGAGGAAGTCGTAGTCGAGGACGCACAACGCGTAACCCTGAAACAAAGTTGGGTTAACGATTCGAGAGAAATCGCGTCAGAGATATACCATGAATAATTTGCTAGAATCGATAGCTGCTTTAACAAGTTTGCGTGCTTCTTGTCTTTTCTTTGAACGAGAGCTCGCAATTGTTTTTCTTAAATCTACATACAGAATGTATGTGCAAAGTACGATAGCTTAGTCTAATTTGAATGTATAGACATAATACCGTGAAGACTTTCACAAATTTAGCCCTTCATTAGCTCTGGAAGCATCAGATCACCCTCTAAGCTAAGTTCTTTCTCGTTCATATTGTTAATTAAGAAACTAATTTCTATGCAAAGTTTTGATGAAATATTTCTTGCGTGGGACTACCGTCGAAGTCTTGGGCGAATATAAAAGTAGGTCGTGACTACATCGACCAGGCGATGTGCCCTCTAAGTCGGAAATCATTTGTCACACCTGTGTCATTTTGTCGCTTTTCCCTTCCCAGCTGAGCCTCTCGTCGTACAGAGGATCATTATTGGTCCCGATGAAGATCGGCTCCCAGTGAACGAAACTGCCTGTCCTCTTGCCGACGTGAAACACGTGAAGATCCTCGGTTTCCGGTGCTTCCTGCCACTCTTTGCTTCGAGGAACGTTATGACAGCCGGAGCATAATTTCTTGTGAAAGGGTATCGCCGTACCGGCCTTCAGCATCTGCACCTGAGGTCAGATTTATTAAGTTACTTTAAATAGAAAACAAACTATGTTTATAAAACATATCTCTATTTTTCTCTTTTTTCTTTTCTTCAACATTTCTAGAGATATCTTTCGAAAAGGTAGATACATATTATACATGGAAAATCTCGAAGTGATCTTCGAGATGATCATACTAATCGATGACTTTCGGAGGAGGGGAAGTGACTAAATTGAAATGCAATTAAGAATAATATAAATTAAATTAAACAAATTGATAAAGATCAATTACTCTCGGATCATTTTTATGTAATAATATGATTAATTCCAATTTTTTTTTTTTTTGTATCAACGATGAACAATATTTCTACGAAAATACTCGGGTTCAACGTTCTCTTACGCGACGGTAATTCTGCCTCGTTTCT